TTTGATTCCATATATATATATATATATATATATGTATATACTTGAAATTTGGCTTGTGTGTGAGATCTGATGTGTGGGAAATTGAATTTTGTACTCATGTAACTGATATGAGACTAATTTTTTATTTGAAATCTATTTATTTGATCCGTTTGAGTGTAAAGTCCATTTGTTTAACTAATTAAATAAGCCTTTTGTGATCCATTTGTTTTTTCTGTTTTAAAAAAATGGTACACCCAGTTTAGTCACTATTGGATGGAGGTCTCGAATAATTTTGTTTATCTAGCTTTCTCAAATTATATTTAACTCTTTGTATCACCTTGATGCTTTTTTAATAAAGTTTTCTTTATTTATCAAAAAAAATAAAATAAAATAAAATCATGGGTATTGAGAATTGAAATAAAAAAAATTAATCTCCATTGTGCATATGATTCCTTTTACAAGGAGTGTGAAAGGAGAATATTGAATGTATGAGATGAATGCATGATTAGTGATCAAAGTAATTCTTGAAGTATGAGATAAATGCATTATTAATATTTGAAGTTGAACAACTTGTGAATTGTACAATTGAAATTGTACTTGGTTGAAACTTTAGTGAATACCTTAAGGGATCAAATCACATCACTAAGTTAATTGTTTAAGGACCTAAGTACTGGAACCTTAATTATACAACAAAATGAATTACGTCATCTAGCAAGAAACAAAATCAAATACTTGAACAATTCAACTGAAAGTCATAAGTTGGGGAACTAAGACTTTGAAGACTAAGAAAATTCAAAAAGTTTAGATTATCAATTTCAAAGCTCTACTCTGAAGCACCCACGCATCACTCTTTAGATAAGTCGTTGAAAAAGAGGAGGATTTTGAGCGCCAATCTCCTTGTTTCATTCTTTTTCTTTACACCATTTAAAGAAGTGTTTATTTATTTATTTTGCTATTGGGTTTTTTTTATCTGATTACAGAAGGACATCCAGAAACTCCTTGCAGCATGAACATTGGACTGCACAGACATGTCTTTCAGCATCTGTTGTACTAATATGTAGGTGGAAGAACTTCAACACGTCGGCATTGGATCTGTCGCGTCCATATAGTGAACTATTGTAAGTACTTGTTTGTTTTTTTTAGGTCGCGATATTTGGCTTACTGGCACAAAGAGATGAAAGGAACATGACACAGGACGGGGAGAGAGTAGGCATCCACAGCTTGCTAAGTTGTCTGTATTAACAATAAATAAATAAATAAAGTTTGCGAAGTTGTCTTCTGTATTAACAATTAAAGTTGCTTCTTTTGTTCTTTTAGCTCATGTTAGATTCACAAGACTAATAGTGAAGTATTAATAATCCTATTAAATTAGTGTGGTATTCACTATCCAATTGGATTAATATCCATTGGATTAATAATCTTACCCCTACCCCATTACTAATAATCCTACAAATTTGTTGGATTAATTATTCTAAACCAAAATGTTAAAACAAACATAGGATAATTAGGCCCACGGATTAATAATCTCAATCCCATGCTCTAATCCACCCAATCAAACATGCCATAAGGGTAAATCAGTATTGAATCGATTTAATTTTTTTAAAAATAATATGTATGAAAGTTTTATAAAATGAATAATTTGAATCATCAAAACTTTATCTGTGGTGAGTCTTAGAGATCAATACAACTCTCTCAATTTTAAATTTGAACTGGAGAGAAATTTAATTTTAAATTTAAACTTATTATCTTCTAAATATTTTTTTCTAAATAGGTAACATCGCTCTCTCTTACATTATTGATCAGGCTCTTGCTTTGCAATCTCCATAGGCAAGAGAATAAAAAAAAAAAAATCTCGCGTAATTTGATTAGTCGAATTGACTTCATTTAAGGTCCAATTAATTATATTTAATCTTTACCATTCTAAATTAGATTTTTAATCAAACTCTCAGAAGGCTCTAAATATTAAATTAAACTTATTGTCATCATCAATTTTGATTTCTCAAATCATTTAGGCCTTCAATTTCTGATCAAACTTAAAATCTCCGCCAATAAATTACATATTCAATTGAACACCTCATAAATGACTTGAATTCATAATAATCTCAATTCCTAATCTTCATAACTTGATCAACTCCAATTTGAACCCAATTAATAAAATCTCAATTTTACTAAATTGAATCGAATATTTAATTAAACTCCCATATGGTTTGATACTCAAAATTAAAATATTTCAATTCGTTAATTTTACCTTCCTGAGCCACTTAAGCTTTTAATCTCTAATTCTAAAATAACTCTTTTATAAAATTATATACGAATCAACCCCAATATTGTTCATCAATTCCCCAATTAAATCAGAATAATAATTAATTAAAATCTAAATCACCTTGATTAATTAAACATAAAATATTTTACGTGGTGGGATCGTCACAGATTTAGTGCAAAGTGTAATTTACCCAAATTGAAACTATTTTTTTTCCTTTCACATATCATTCCATTTTTACTTTTCTCCACAAATTTCTTTACAAATTCGGATCGGGGATGCCTGCTGTGTTGCCCTATGAGCTTATTTCAGGATCCGTTTTGATGATCCGAACCGTTCACATTTTAGAGTACATCAAGTAAAACATACTTACAAAAAATCAAGTTAATTGGATATTGTTAACCCTTTCATCCACTCACATTTATTCATTTGGATCCTTTAAATCACAATGTCATTTATTTTTGTAGATACAAATGTGAGTGAATGAAAGGGTTAATAATATCCGATTAACTTAAATTTTTACAGGTATGTTTTACTCGATGCAATTTAAAATGTGAACGATTCAAATTATTAAAATAGATCTTAAAATGAGCCCATAGAATAGCACAACAATGTCTGTTGTGCCCCCAACACAGCAGGCACCCTAGATTCAAAAATCACATGGACACAATAAAAATTTTCAAAGGATGAAGAGTAAAAACATCTTTTAATAATTTTGTTAACATTCTCAAAAAAAAATTAAAAATTGTATTTTTAGTCGAACCAAACAAACTTTACTTTTGGCTTTTTTAGCCCCAAAAAAAAGTTTATTTATAAATTGTCAAACAAGGCCTACATGGCTAGTTATTATATATTTAGTAATAAGTAGGGTTAAAATGTTACAATTTATTAATATTGTTCTAATGGTGCAAACGTTATTTATTTATTTTTTCACAAAATATCAAATAAACAATAATATTATGAACCAAAATTTTACCTAGAAATATTAATATATGGTCTAATTCATTCTGTACGTGAACTTTACAATACATCACTTTGATCTGCAACACACTTATGGACAAAAATATGTACCACCATTAGTAATGAGAAATAAAAAGGGTTGTCAAATTTAGCAATAACTAAATCTTGTACCAAATTTTAGCATTAATTTAAGAATCCTAAAATATAGCTTAATGTTTTATTTATTGGAGAGTTCAAATTCGATATTCAAGGCTATTTTTTTTACGATAAGAAACATTTTACCACACTCTCATAGCATACTCTCATATTAGGATCTATTCAAATGCATACCACCTGTATTTGGTTATGGAAAACTTGCTGTTACACCAAATGCAGACACTCTATTTTAATTGTTCACTTTTTCAATCCTCTAATATCCATATCTTTATCTAAGTTCATCTATTTCCTTTGTATTTGTGTGTTTAATCTTTTGATGCTTTATAATTTGGTATAATACATTTATGAACTTTTGTTATTTGGCCTCAGGGTTCAAAGATGGTTCTTCCCTTATGATTATCAGATTATTCAAGAAATCCACAGGCAAGAACCCAACAATGGCTGTGCCGGGTTGCTGGAGATTGGGAACCAGCTTACACCAAATGATGCAAGGAGCTTTGGTGTCGCACAGCTTCCACGAGAGAATTCCAGGCACACTGGTTTTTCTTTTGATTCACCGGGGTATGAGTCCTTTTTTGCTTCACAAGCAGGTGTCCCTGCCCCTCACAAGGCGTGGGAGGTGGCACGGCGAGCCAGTGTGAGGTTTCGGTCGAAGTTATCCTTAAAGAATTGAATGAATGAATTTATTTGTACATTATATATATTTTATTTTTAGAAAACTAGTTGTGCCACATACAATAGGTGACTTCATTTTTTTTGGGTAGGTATTGTAGTTATTAGGATTGTTAGGGTAAAAAATGACTATTTTTTTGGAATTAAATGAACGTTCTTTTGTTATATATAATGTACTAGACCATTGTCACATAATGTTATTTTAAATTGTTAAATTTTGACATTTTAAGCAAGGAATTCAATCATCCATGGCCAATGATATGCTTTACGAAGTTGTAAGTTCAAATCCCTTGCATTCCATATGAATTTTTTAATTGATCTACTAATATATATATTTTGATAATTGAATATTTGGGTCAACTATATCTCAATTAATTTCGTTTGAGATTTTTAAATTCATTTATTAATATATATTTTTTGATAATTAAGTATTTGGGTCAACTTATATAAAATAACGGCTGAAAGAATCTTTACTAATTTAAAATAATGAAAAATATTATTTTTATAATACTTTATTTTAATTTGTAACTTTTACGTTGAATTATATCATTCACTAACATGTTTTATTGTGGTAAAAAATCACAACTAGATTGTTTGCCAAGAAAAAATGACAGAAAATTCAATCCCAAATTGTTTTTTAGTCAAAAAATTGAAATGTCAAATTTCCCCCACATTAGAGGCATCCCTGGCTGATATCAAACACCACTTGCTCAAATTCACCATCAAACTCGAGACTGCCACTAAAATAAAAAAATAAAAAAAAAATTCCTGACAAGTAACGAACAAGGAAAATAAAATAAAAAATCTTTTCCTCAACAGGTATTGGTGCCCACTTGAATTTAATGCAAGTTTTAACAGTTTGGTTATCACAAAATGAATTAGGTTCAAGAATTGAACAATGTATAATAAATTGCATAAATTGTACAACACAAGATAATTGAAAATTGAAAGAGACAAATAAAAGCACAAACTATTAAAGAAAATGCTATGTATAATTTCATTTCTTACCGTATTTTCTCACTTCTAAACATATAACTGAGCAGATATCATGTGCATTTATTAATGTGAATCTCATTCTCATGCGTCTAGAATAGAAACACAAAAGATTTTCACATAATAGGGTGTGAGACCCCCACCCTTCGTCTCACGTGTCACATGTGTCCCATTCTGTAAATAATCATCTGTACACTTGGATTTACAAGTGAGAAAACAAGGTAAAAAATAAAGATTACATATATAGCATTGCTTAACAATAAAACATGAATACCAACCAACTCAACAGCAGGAAGGACAAAGGAAGAACAATGAAGAGAAGAACAAATGAATTTCCGTCACTTTGTTTCCTCTCTGGCTTTTCTCTTCCAACTTCAGAAATGGGGTCCAAGGTCTGTTTATCTTCTTCAGAAGATCCCATGAACGTCGTTAATTTCTGCGATACAGACTGCTGACCTTCACGCATGAAATTTTCGTCACCGACATAATCATCATCATTTTCAAATACCAAATGAATCCCACACTTCTTCAGGTGAACCCCCTTGACAAGAGAAGGGTTCTGCATTGCCACTCGTATCTTGTCACCGTCTTTCAAAAACAAAACCAATGGAGTATGATTTTCATATCGGCACAAGTAAAAATGATCTTCATCTGTCTTTGGCACTCCTAAAAGCGGTGCAGTATTGAATATTGGTACGTTCAATCTGAGGATCGTTATTAGAATACCTGCTACTACAGGGGATTGATCTCTTAGATCATCTTGTATGGAATGGTCGATAGAGATAACAATACCTACAATTACAGCTTTGATCACACGGTTTTTGGGCTTTGAGCAAGAAACCTTGTCTCGAGTAAACCAATCTGGGATTTCGCTTCCAGGCACGCATAAACTGTTCAAATTCCTCAAAGCAAGCTGCATTTATAAAGTCCCATAAAACATTCTATTTCTGATCTGATATGTATGTTAATTACTCCACTCATAATCAGGATTATCTACTGTATTTTTCTGTAATGTGATCTTGTTGTGGTGATCCAACAGTTGAGGTTTAAAGTTGAAATAAAAAAACATCATTTTGGAATGTGTAATTCTAGTTATTTTACCTCAGTTTTAAACTTTGCCACTAGTTTATGTTTTTTGCAATGGGTCATGTTGTGGTAAAAAACCCAGCAAGATCATGGCAAAATCTTTGCACAACCAAGCCATATTCCATTCAAAATATTTTTATTTATTTATTTTAATTTTGAACATAATAATACTCTTATACCAAAGACCAAAAAGCAATCCTAAGAAACAAAAGAAAAAAAAAGATCTAAGAGTATAGAAACCAAACACAAAATTGAACACAAGAAAATACATGAATCTTGTAAACTCTCTTTCATCCATATATTTTGTGTTTGGTTCTAAAGAAATTCCTACTTTGAAGACGTTTTTCGCTTAAAAATGTGATTTTGCACTCTCAAGTAAGAAACTTGTAGTAACCCGCTTTTGTCCAAGAAGAATTTCGCTCTCAATTGAGTAGAACCTCATAAAAATCTCACAAAAACAAAAGAAAAAAAACTCAAACTTATTCTAATTGTTTCTATTCATATACTTAACAAAGACAATTTGTAATTGACATTAATCTTAATATTTATTTATATTTGAACACACATTAAATTAAGTAGAAAAAAACAATTGTTAAATATATTTATATATTTAATATATAAATTATATACACACTCCCATAGGGGTTGCCAACTTTATAAACTTCAATATGCCCTTGTTCCCTCTGCCTCTGCTCCCATCTCCACCACCACTTCATGCAAACTAAGGTTCGGCTCTATGCCTGATTTTTATCTTCCTAGACTTTTTCAAATAAAATAAAAGTACCAGAAAAATAGTTCCTTTGGTAAATATAGCTTATGTTGAATTAGGACATAAAAGTTGAAAAGAACCTGCATATCTAAATGGGATATCAACAGAAGAATGATTATTTGATTACTTACATTGAAAAAGGATTCAATGGTATTTTGTCTATGAAAAGCTCGAAGTTTGAACTAGAAAATTTATTTAAGGTAGATAATAATAGTCATTGGTCAATGATAAATCTACACAATCTTACAAATATATGACAGGGAATGTGTGTGTGTGTGTGTGTGTGTGTGAGAGAGAGAGAGAGAGAGTACCTTATCAAGTTTTGACTTTACCACTGAAGAGCAAGAACTGCAACCACTCATGTACAGCCATCTCAAGGACTTCAAGCGTTCAAGACCTGGAATACCCGTTAGTTTCTCACAGTTTGCAAGGTTCAAGTTTCGTAAATTCTCCAGATTTGATATATCGGATATACTTTCCAATGCAGTACAGTTTGCAGCATTTAACTCTATCAAACTTGAGGGAAGTGGGGGAAGAACTTTGAGATATTTACAGTGGGACAGTACAAGCTTTTTGAGAATGGAAAGTCCACTTAGACTACAAGGAAGACTGGATAAATCATTGTGACTGAGATTCAAAAGCACTAAAGACGACAGTTTTTCAAAATCATCAGGTATTATCCCAGCTATTTTCCATGCACGGGCATCAAATTCTTCTAACAAGGAAAGATTTGAGAAAGAAGATGGAAGCTCTGTATTTTCAGGATTCTGAGATACTTCATGGTCAGGCTTCTTCGCCATTTTCAATATCATCAGTCTTGAGAGCATGCCAAACTTTTCAGGTAATTCTGTCACAGCTGTTTCCTCCATTAGCAAGTGGAGGAGGGACTTCAAATTCCCAATTGAAGTGGGCAGTCTGCAAAGCTTTGTGCATTTATTCAACCTTAACATGATAAGATTTTCCAACATCCCTATAGATTCTGGCAGCTCTGTTATGGCAGCATTCACTATGATCAATGTAGAAAGAGTTAACACACATCCAATTGATTCTGGCAATGATCTAAGAGATCTACAATTTCTCATCTCAAGCTTCTCAAGAGATTTCAAGCCATCGACCTGATCTGGCAGATCTATGATTGATGCCCCATCTAATAGTACCTAACACGTGATAACATGTGCCTACAAATTTGCAAATCTTCATTCTCTTTTGGCACTTTTGATCTGCCAATTGGAACCATCAAATTGTAAGTTATATTGATTTTATTCATGCTAAAATGAAGATGTTTTTTTTAAAACTGAACACGTTTTTTTTTTAGAAAAAACATTTAAATTGTTATTAAAATATTAAAAAATATATTCATTGAAAAATAAAAATGATATATAATGGTTAAGTGTTTCTAAACTTGAGTGTACATGGTTAAATGGGGGGTGTAAAGAATTGTTTTTCGGGTATAAATAGAAGCACCCCACACATAATAAAAATACAGAAGATAATAAAAACTCCAAAGAGATGAGAACAGTATAAAGGTTTATTTTGAACCAAAAGGGAAAATCCAATGAAATCATATTGTTGATTAAGAGTGGTACGAAATATTGCAGGCAAGGAAAACAAACTAATAAAAAATAAGTTGTTTTTCCTAATCAATAACAGTAAGTGATCAATGAAAGTATGCTATTATTGGTTTGGGCATATTATCAAACACATGGTGAGCAAAAGATAAAATTGTAGCAAAACAACAAAACAAAGACAATACATAGGGGCTGAGCCAAATATTAAATAGAATTGGGGCAATAACAAGTATCAATCTAATATAGAAGCATAGAAATCAAGTAATGACATCTCCATAGAAGACAAAGAAACAACAAAGTGAAAGCAATTAAAGGAGTGTGAATATGACTAAGAACCGATGTTAATTTTGAATGAGAACAAATATCAGATATTCATTCTTTAGGATTACGGTTTTGAAATCAAAGCCCTAATGGCACAACTATCTTAGGTGGCTATGGATATTAATTTTGACTGATAAAAAAAATTAATAACAGCTATTCAATGGTTAGGGTTTTGAAATCAAAGCACTAATGGCACATTTAGATGAAGCTTAGAGTTAGCAACAAACCTGAACTACGGAAAAGAGTTCTCGGAAAAATTCGATTCGACTGGAAGGGAAGGGAAAAGCTGATGACTAGATCTTTGGTCACAAACCCATGGTGGAGACGTCCAGAGAGTGAAAGCTTGTGAAGAAGATGTCGACATGGCTGAAGCCCGGATCGCCGACGAGGTTGGTGATCCTTGGAAGCTTCGGCTATGGCGGAAGAGAAGAGGGAAGAGAAGAGCCAACAAGAGGGCCAAACACGATTGATTCAATTTTGTTTCCCCTTCTAACCGGCTACACCGGTTGCCTATTTGAGAGTTAAATTATTTAAGTAATTTAGTTATGACCTGGTTATGAGATAGTATGGTATAAATAAATAACTGAATATAACTAAGTTATGAGTCAATATAATAGTGGTCATGACTAATATGGTATTGGTTATGACATAAAATCATATAAGTTCATAACTAAATGTATGGTACATCTAAATGTACCATAGCATCACCCTTGAATATGATTGGGTATGTGACATAAATTTGGCTCCTATCATACTTGAGCATTGTGAGAGTATTTTAAGGGTCACAAACACTTTCCTTTTATATGTATATAAATTTTTACAATTTAATTATACATGTATTTATTTTATTTTAAACACATTATGCATTTTTTTAATACATATACACAAATATAAAATTATATATTATGCTAAATAAATCGAATGAATCTTCCAATTCAAGATTCCATATGATTCACCCTTTACTATTTTAACAAAACTACCCGTGATTCGATGTGTGATTTAACAACAAAACAATGGCAGTTAGGTTGAAAAACTTCAGCAACTTGCAAGGCCAAACAACATAGAACTCGATGATACAACATCGTCCAAAATACACAAAGTCCAACATCGTACAAAATAAAGTAATACTAAGAGATAAACCAAGTAAAAATATGAGACTGCACTGTGCATGGCAAATGCATACAGCTAGCAGGGTTCTAAATTTACTTCGAATCCCAACGATAACCCACTTTAGTTCCTTCTTTGTCACCCCCATACAATAAAAGCTGAGTTTTGCTAAGAGAATTGAGTGCACTCACAGCGACTGACTCTTCAACAGAATGCATTTTTATAAGTTAGTCCTTGATAGGCTTCCAACAGGAGAGAGCATAGACGATTCGACCCTTCCATCCTTGCAGCATCCAGTTTCCATCCTCGTCCACCACGAAATCCTTGTGGTAATGAACCTTGACCAAGGACCTTACAACCTTCACAAGATCCTGGTTCAGCGGTAGCTGCTTGAACCCCGCTCTCAGGGTCCTAATTTGCCACTGCTTGTACGTTTCAGGCCTTTCAACTCTCTCAGTACCCTCGCACGCTATGACATTCATTATATCCCTTCCATAAATCTCTTTCTCAAGCATCACCCGATCCCCATCTTCATGCGGTATAGTAGCCTCAAACATATCGAATATTGAAGAGAAGTGGAAAAGAGCCTCCCTGAATCGAGTCACAAAGAAGGGTGCGTTGTACATCCCATTCACAACTCCGTGAATGAACATATCTGGTTTGATCCTCTGAACCAAGTTGAGAACAATATCGCGTGGGCTGTTCGCTAGAACTGTCTCATCGGGTACATTCCTAAGCCGAAACAAGCAATTAACAACAAGCACCTCGTCACTATCGATCTTGAGTTCGTCAAGTTCGATAGCATCCCATTTCTTGGCTATTGCAGTGTACTCAAATTGTACGTTAAATCTCTTGCAATATGTTTCCAACCTACGCCCCGTTTGCTCAACCCTCTCTGCTGGGCGAAACCCAGGTTGGGGAAAGTCTATTCCTGTAATGCGAAGCTTAGGAGGCCCACTGGGTCTGGCAGAGAGTTGGTGTATAAGGCAGGGCCATTGGAACCCATATAGAATACCAAAATCGATTACGTGAAGTGTTGTTGCTGTCTGAGCTAGCTTCATAATCGATCTATTCGCGTACGAATTGGACATTCTGTTGAAAGGGCATGCTTTGATATATGTCTGGTAAGATTTCAAGACATCAGCAGCCGATATCCTCTTGGTAGATGAAGCAACATACAATGCTGTCCCAGTGCCAGCCAAACGAGCCTCAAGGGCATTAGCAAAGTAATAGGCCAATCTTTCAACGCCATCACCTTGAGCAGAAGAGTGTTGTCTGATTCGGTTAAGCTGTTCATTAACACTCCTAATATCAGCCCGTGCAACGGCTTGCGAACACTGAGTTAGGAGAGTCCGCAAATCCACCATTTCCTTTTTGTTGCCTTGTTTCCTACCACGTCCCTTTCCTCCATTCGAACCTTTCGATGGTCCATTCTGCTGCAACTTCTTGGCTGAATCATTGTCATCATGATGAGGACATAACTCAGATCCCTGACGCAAATCAGAACTGAGAAACACAATATCAAACATCTTTAATTGCTCATCCGAAACATCAGTATAACTTGCCAATTGCTTGTTAGTCCGACCATCATCTGCATTATCGCCATTCCCTCGATGATGAGTTTTCTTCTCCCTTGACCCATTCTTCTCTTCCTGAGCCGCAACCTTCGAGTTCTTCTCCTTCATCTCCAAACCATAGTTCACAAATTTTTTATTTGGGACCAACTCCGCAACTTTTGTGTTCCCTCCACTCAACAACCAGAAGGGTTGGCTCTGATTAACAAGAGTGTCGACTGAGCCATCACCAGAACCCTTGGACGAGCCGATTGATTGCGAAACGGGCTCACAGGTGGTGCCAAAATGGGAAGAGCTTCTTTCAAGTTTCTCTTGATCACGAACCCAATTGGGCTCGACGAAGTAGTTGACAGAACCAGGGCTGTCACTGCTTTCACCATCGGGAGAGTGATCATCTGGGCTGGGATTAAGGTCGAACACATGGTCTGCATTCGAGGAGGGAGGTTGGTACTTCTCTCCAAGAGCATCATAGAAAGATTTCTCAGTAGCTTGGAGAGCCAAGCACTCTCGGAACATACAAGGCTTATCCTCCAAATCGTCTTCTTCCATAAGCATCTGGTTGATTAGCTTGAGAGTGGCATCAGAGAAAGCACCTTCTTCGGAAGAAGCATCGCTCACCCGATTCACATCAGAAGACGATGAAGAATCAGATTTATAAATGGGTTTTGAAGCTTGAGAGAGAATTGGAAAATCCATGTAGGTATGATTAAGATTAACTAGATTTTTTTGATCGAAAACAGAGGCAGAAAATGCTTGGACAAGTGCTTCCATGAAAACCTAAATCCAAGAATTCCAAGAAACAAATTAGAGAGACGATGAGAGAGAAAAGGAAGAGTATGAATCATAGTAACAGAGATGATTTACCTCTTTATAGTGAGAGTTTGAAAGATTGAGACCATGATTTTCCAAGTAAGCATCGAACTCTCCCGCAAATAGACGCTAAAAAATTGGGAGAATCAGATCAGAGAGCATTTGCAATTATTAATGTTAATCTGTACGAATAATACATTTATAATGTTAATCTGTTCGAATTATACATACATACATATATATTATAATGTTAATCTGTTCGAATTATACATACATACATATATATATATATATATAATATTAGTAGTATATTTTAGGGTGATTTACGTAAGATAATGCGTAAGCAAGTGTCGCGAGCTGTTTACGTTGATGTAATGGACGTCATACTGGAAAATTATATTCATTGTTTAGTGAGAAGAGTATCATAATTTTTATATATAATATAGTGTAATGCTGTGATTTTATTTATTTATTTATTTGTTTTTGTGTGTAATGTTGTGATTATTATTTCATAATATCATATTTGAGAAAAAAAGAGGAAGTAGTATACAGTTTCTTTTTTTTTTTTTGGGGGTGAGTTTGTCTTATTTGACTGACTCCATTTTTCGGAACTCGATAATGTTACTCTCATTATAATTTCAGTGCAATTTTTATAGAATTATTATATTTTTAAGGATTTGTAATTAAATAATACTAATACAAAATTAAAGAATAATTAAAATTTTGAGTTGTTACAGTAATAGTAATAATTTTCTTTAATGAAACATGAAATTTATATAAACATATGGGTTTCTATAAATTTATATATAGAGTGAATTATCATTATTAATTGAAAAAGTCTTAGATCACAAAAATCGATAACAGAATTAGACACAACTCTATTGAGTTCTATTTTTTTTTGTGAGTCTCACGCTCATATAAAATGATTATATCCAATTCTATAATTAATTTTTATATAAGTAAAAGACTTGTATGATAGAAACTAATATAAATGCACACTTTATAGACCAATTACTCTTATATGTTTATTTTTGTTAGTATATTTAATTAAATTAAGAATGCAATGCCAAGACCATCTTCCCAAACAGAAACATAGGCTAATGAGCTATGCCCTATGGTTTTCTAAGTAGGGTTGGGCATCATACTCATAATACATACAAATGAATCTTGTGGCATAATAGGTTGGTCTAGTGTAACTTGTTATAAGTTAAAATTAATAATTAAAAAATAGAAATTAAAGCACTTGTGCCCCAAATTTTTACATAATTAACTTATTTAAATTATTTTTATCTAATAAATTATGAGTAAAAATACATCAAATAGTTTGGCACATATTTTGAAATAGCTACTTATTCTGTACCAAACACACATTAGTTTGCAAAGCTATGCCCAGATCTCTCTTCAAAGGAATCAAGAATTACCTACAAGAGACGCAAAAGAATCCCCATTATCATCTCCTACTATCAAACTTCATTAGCACTGGCAGTGATTCTCAGTCTCCCCGAGGAAATGACTTCAAATCATGGACCAATCTCATTTCATTTCTCGCCCAAAATGCCACAAACTCAGAGATGGCAATGGTTGAGTCCTCTCAAATGCTCAACTCTGGTGCCAAGCCTAATGGCCATGCTCTGGTCCACCTGTTCCGAACATGCGCAAAAATTGGTTGCCATTCTTATGGCCTACAGCTTCATTGCTACGTCCTTCGATCTGGGTTTGTCACCAATGTGTTTGTCTCCACTTCCCTCATCAATTTCTATCTGAAATTTGAGTCTTTGAATGATGCCCATAAAGTGTTTGTTGAAATTCCTCAACCAAGTGTAGTTTCTTCGAATTCTTTGATTTCTGGGTATGTGCATTCTGGGCTGTTGTCGAAGGCGTTGAGTGTGTTTGTTAAGTTGGATAGGTCTGAGATTTGTGCTGATTCATTCTCATTTACGGCCACTTTAGCTGCTTGTGGGCAACTAAGGTTTTCACAATTGGGGAAATCAATTCACTCCAAGATTGTGAAAGTTGGTGTGGAATTTAGTGTTTTTGTTGCAAATTGCTTGATTGACATGTATGGAAAATGTGGGTATGTTAAAGAGGCGATCTGGGTATTCAACGAGATTACTGATAAGGATATCATTTCTTGGAATTCAATTATCGCAGCAAGTGCTAGGAACCGAAAACTTGAACAAGCAGTCAGTTTTTTTCATCAGATGCCGAATCCTGATATAATTTCATATAATGAATTAATCAACGGAATTGCACAGTTTGGGAACATGGATGATGCCACTGGGATTTTATCAAATATGCCGAACCCAAATTCATCTTCGTGGAATTCAATAATAACAGGGTATGTGAACCGGGATCAAGCACGCGAAGCCCTGGACTTCTTCAGTAATATGCACTCGAATGATAAACATTATAAATTTAAAAAAAACGTAAAATTACAACTGTTAATTTTCGTAATTTTAAAAATATTTAAAAATAATATTATTGGCTAACAAAGTAACTATAGATTTAAAAAATAATAATTGAACTACAAGTTCCAAAAATTTCTCCCCTAATATTTATCTCTATTTTAAATCTCATAATTTATCTATGCTATATATCATACCCAAGTGACTTTTCATTGTAGAGGTCCTAAGTGTTTCAAAGCATTAAATCTATTTTTTTTGAATTTTTGATTTTTATAAAAAAAGATTAAAACATTTGTTGGCTATTCCAATGATATAAATATTAACCTTCAAAATTATTTAATGCAAATATATTGCCAATAAAAAGAAAGAAAGAAAGAAAAAAAACACACAATTCTCAACCTTCCCCTCCTCAAAATAAATCAAGCTTTTAATTAAAAGTAATATAAATCTCATACAATCTTCTCTCTCCTAAAATAAATATAATAAAAAAGAAACTCTTCCACCTCCCATAAAATGTATACTATTAATATATTTCACAACTGGCCTGATTTATATGAACATAAAATTAAACCTAACATAAAATAAAAATTAAACCTTATATTTAGATTATCTCTATTCCATAATTAAACACAATTTTCTTCCCAAATAAATTTAAGCATAGCTATATATTATATATATATATTTAAAAATCTCATCATTTATTATTTTTTTATAATGATTCCATGATTTATAATTTAGAAAAAGAAAGATGAAAAAAAATTACTATTGTGCACTCTTTCTCTATCCAATTTTTTCTTCTATCTAAAAATTCTAGCCATCATACATTATACTTTTTCCAAGCCATTCATCTCGCCCTTTAAATATTATATTCATGGAACGATAAAACTCATTGTTTTTTAACTTTTTTTATGAGACAATTTGGAAGTTAATTTATGTTTAATCTATTATATTCTTTAAACATACTCTTTTATCTTTTAGGTACACCATTTTTTTTTCTTTATTTTATTATTATTATTTTTTTATCTATGACCATTTTTTTGATTTTGTATTTTATATTTTGTGTGTCATTTCTCCCTCCTCGCTACCAACCATTGTCTGTGTTTTTTAAATTTTTTTTTATAACTATTGTTTGTTAGTTAATATTATTTTACTAGCATTTTTATACTAAAATGACGTAATAGGGTCACTTGTATAATAAAAAACATGTTAATTATTGTAAAGTGATAGATCAAAATTCAAACAAAATCATTACTAATAAGTTTTCTGTATTGATTTTATGTTTGTAAATCATTACTTTTTTTTAAAAAAAAAATTTTCTTGAATATTTTTTTAATATCATGATATGTATTAATTGACAGTTGGTGCACAACATTATTTCAAAGGCATATAATAGTTTTTCAAAACTATAAAAGGAAAATATTAATGTTAATCAATTTTTTCAAAATGATTAAGGGTATTAGTCAATTATTTAATTATTTATTTTTAATATGTGCAGCTCATCTCTTCCTTTATGGTGTTTCTCTCTCTATTCTATTATGAGTTCATATGTTTTTAGAAAAAATCATATGTAATTTAAAATTTTGAATCTTTTTAAAATCATATGTTGTTTGGGAAGAGCTCATTTGGGCACTTTTGGCTCTTTGAGCTACAAAAGACAGAATAGGCTATTTGAGCCACAACAGACAAAACATCATATTCAACCCATAATCATTACACTCTTCTCTCACAAAAAAAAGTCAAAAAAGCCAAAAAGCCAAAAAGCCCTTCCCAAACCAAGTTTTTGAGCCCAGGCTCAAATAGCCAAAAAGGTCAAAAAGTCAAAAAGCCAACCCACTTTCCATACAGCTATACAAAACCATATCATTTTAAATATAGCTATATTTATAATTAATTTTAATCAATCTATTACCTATCCTTATTTATATTATTATATTAATAAAAATGTTGTGCAATAATTGAAATTCAAAGTCCTAATCTATTTGTTTTTCAAAATTTAAAATTGTATTTGCATATGTTGCAATGACATTAATTTCTTCCTATTATAAATTTTATTTCAAATCTTATAAGATTTGTTCAATGACTAATATTCAATTTTTGTAAAAATATTCCAATATATTCCTTCCAAAAGTTAATATAGCAAGTCTCCAAAATCATATTTTAAAACTCAAAATTATTAATATTTTTATTTATTTTTATTTTTGTTTTAAATAAGCATGTTAAAGTATAAATAGATATCCAAATAAAATTATACTTATTAATAAATATGACATTATGTAGACGTCCCCGAACACCCCGGGAGGATGAGTCCCGTTCTGTTCATTTTTTTGGGTTCCCTACAGTTCAGGACTCTCAGATAGTCACGGTTCTTAATTTGAACCAAAGAGTCCAAATCTGGTAAATCGTTTTGAGAAAACAGATTTTAGAAAAGAAGTGCCAAACATGGACTGCTTTGCCAGATACAGAGTCGCCATCTAAATATTTTTTATGGGGAATTTAGGAAACCCTGACTCGATGCCAAAGGCCACGTGTCCGTCATCACCAAAGTTGCCTCGGCTCGGGAGCTTGGGTACGATCGGGGAAGGTCAGCTACGAGCACCCCCTCTCGCCTGATCCGAAGCTCGGCCTCACTAACCGTGATACCCGTTTTTGAAAACGTTATATGTTCTTATTCCGGTTATTAGCCTAGAATTACTATGTTACGCGCACAGCAAACAAGTATAGACCAAATCGCCTAAATTGGAACAAAACATTTCATGCTTGTTTTGAAAATGGTTTGCTACTCGCAAGTAGGCTGAAATGCAGATTTTGCCACCCTCAAGTGGGCTTT